TCATCCGTGGCTCCATGCAAGTAAAGGAAGAAGATGTCGACACTGCCTTTTTTTTTCTGTGAGCTGTGTAACGCCGTTATCAGTTTCTGGACTACACTCCGTCAATTGGCAGGAAGATTGGTAAAAGTACATTGGAAAGGATCTGGAAGGAAGCGATGGTGGCGTAATCGAAGTGTTATGCCGGTATTTGCCTGCGGAAAGACATTATGTCATACCGAGTACAGCGTTAGTACCTACGGCTCTGTTGTGCGTAGATACTTGTTTGTTTCCGCTCAGGAAAATTCCTCCTGTGAGCTGTGCCTTATCATGTCTTTCCGTCTTCTACCACCAAGCAAATTGTTCTGCTGATTCAGTGAGGGCAACAATTAATCTGATTTTAGATTTGTCAATGGACTCCGGATTTGGATTGCTGTCTTCTGGTTCTTCATAAGACAGGATATTGCAATTCAAAACAATGTGTTTTATGCACTTTTGCCAACATGGACAGAAGAATGGGCTATTATACGAAGGTCATGACTCTCAACAGCCGACGGGAGTCAGATTCACATTCTTTCTATTGGTCTCATATTCATATCTCGGTTTGCCAAACATTTCTGACATTCTAACGTGCTTTCAGTTGATTACACTACAAGGATATTACATCTTTCTCTTTATAATTAAACACATATTTTTAATTATGATTCTAAGAGACGAGCTCAGTGTAAGGTAGGGCATGATAACCAAACGCTTTATGTCGAAACAACAGCTGCAGTTATCCCTCGAGACAAATGGGAAATTCAGATGGTACAGATCATCCACTGAACATTAGGCTGTTTTATAGAGAGCCGAATAATTTTAAAACTAACATTGAGAAGTTTTTTAAACCAATTGTGTAGTAGCAGCGTTGATAAGAATGTGCGTCCAGACTGACGTATTTTACACGATAATACAAATTTCCCCACTTAACATGCTGTCACATTTCCTGCACAGGTCGTCACATATGTTAAAAGAGTCACAGTAGGCCATGATGATTGTAGAGAGCCGTCTAACCTCAATTGTAACGATAACTTTAAATTTATTTCCTTTGTGATGTATATTAGGTTGATATAAACATTAACAAAACGTCAAATGTGCCAGGCGATAAATCTAGTTCGTAATCCGCCAGCGACTTCAGTAGATGGTTTGCAAAATTTGTCACAAGCAACTGCCTGTGGCTATCCTAATGCCGATAAAACACAAGCCGTCACTTGAACGCTTAGTTGACTATCTGCCATGACAGTTCTAACAGAGACATCTCACGGACAACCTTGAACGTTCTTCACCGATTGGCGGGCAATTGGAATCCTTTCCGTTTCAGCCCGGCATGTGTATTTGTTTATTCAATAGACGTCATGAATAAAGTCTAGATAGTATATAATTAGTTTTTCTTCTTTGTAGCCCACTTGGGCCCACCAATTGATGAACGTAGCGGTACATTTTAATCAAAATTATTTCAAATATTCTCGCATGTTAGACATACAATATGTCAATTTGGCAAGAACCGTTGCAGTTGATAGTGGATATTATTAAACTTTTCCGTTTATATATAATATTAATATTAAGAGAGCTCTCCACCAGTGGCGAATGCTCTGATCTGACTAGAAGTACCCCTTCAGAGCATTACATCTTGGGGAATAAGAGAGCTCTCCACCAGTGGCGAATGCTCTGATCTGACTAGAAGTACCCCTTCAGAGCATTACATCTTGGGGAATAAGAGAGCTCTCCACCAGTGGCGAATTCTCTGATCTGACTAGAAGTACCCCTTCAGAGCATTACATCTTGGGGAATAAGAGAGCTCTCCACCAGTGGCGAATTCTCTGATCTGACTAGAAGTACCCCTTCAGAGCATTACATCTTGGGGAATAAGAGAGCTCTCCACCAGTGGCGAATTCTCTGATCTGACTAGAAGTACCCCTTCAGAGCATTACATCTTGGGGAATAAGAGAGCTCTCCACCAGTGGCGAATTCTCTGATCTGACTAGAAGTACCCCTTCAGAGCATTACATCTTGGGGAATAAGAGAGCTCTCCACCAGTGGCGAATTCTCTGATCTGACTAGAAGTACCCCTTCAGAGCATTACATCTTGGGGAATAAGAGAGCTCTCCACCAGTGGCGAATTCTCTGATCTGACTAGAAGTACCCCTTCAGAGCATTACATCTTGGGGAATAAGAGAGCTCTCCACCAGTGGCGAATGCTCTGATCTGACTAGAAGTACCCCTTCAGAGCATTACATCTTGGGGAATAAGAGAGCTCTCCACCAGTGGCGAATGCTCTGTTCTGACTAGAAGTACCCCTTCAGAGCATTACATCTTGAGGAATACAAAACACATATCCTCAGCTCAATAAGAACTCCTAAGGAATTTCTTGTAATAGACGTAAGTTGTTTGTTAACTGCATATACGACAGGACAGAAAAGCGGGTGATTCTCTGTTCGACTCTAGACCCACAACTGCATTTTAACTCATGTTTTAGCATACAAAATGAGAAGAGAGAATGTATGATTTCATCACTGATGTCTACGTGCGTTCCTCTTTCTGCAAATGATATATTCCCGCTCGTACTGCGAAAATACCCAGTCATTCGATGCATCAGTGAAAAAAGCTGTTGTTTTTATAACCAATAAAATAACGTAAGTACCCTGTGCATGTGTGTTCACTGTGAACTGAAGTTTAACTTCTCTGCGAGATAAGTATCCTATTTTTAGGTCCTATTAACCAAGCTGTCATTTTTAATAGCTGAGACAGCTTCACTACTCTGGATTGTTAACAGATAGTTTCGATGTCTGTAGCATTATCTGCCATTACGTGCCACGGCAGTATAAGATGGCGAATCGGTGCTCCGTGAAGATGATGGAGCAGTGCTCCGGGAAGATGGCGGACCAGTACTGCGCGGTGACTTCCATGGCGCCCAGTGAATCCAGGACGAGCGTGGTGTAAGTGAGGGGGCGTTGGGCTCTGGTATTGGCGTCGGTTCCTCTGCTAGAGCCAACTGGAATAGTAAACGTAGGGATTACCTTTTAATAACCACACTTGTCTCATCACTCTTGATTCATAGCTTCGCAGGTTATTCAGTTGCAGGTGTTATGCAGATATACCCTCGAATGAGATGAAGGTAAGATGAAAATACGGGCTTCGAAGAAGCCGCTTCTGACCTGTTCATAGGTGCAACCTCAAAATCCGACATTACAACCCACTATGACCCTTGGACTGCCGGTCACGGTAGCCGAACGCTCTGAGGCATGCACTGTCTTCGCTCGTTCGGAAGCCGGGATCGTGGGTTCGAATCCTCAGTGCATGGATGTTGAGTGTTTGTGTGTGTGTGTGCGTGTTTTTCTGTGTTTGTGTACAGGTAGAGGCATTGAGACGAGCTGATCACCCGCCTAAGGAGTCCTACCGAATGTCTAAAATCTAGTAAACCGAAGTGAAACGGAGAGTTTCATGTAGGTAGGCCAAGGCACAAATTGAGGCTGTAGTACCAAAGGAAAAAAAAAAAGACCCTTGGACTTCTTGTGGAGATATAGCTCCAGTCTTTCTATGCATTTAGTAGTATATTCAGTTGAATGGTCAGCGTCACAACCGGTGGCATAACCCCCTGGGGAAATTCCCCTTATACCTATAGGAGAGTAGGCTGGGTGGACCTCAGAACCGGTTTGTACGCGGTGGTGAAGAGAAGTATCTCCTCCTTAGCTGGGAATCGAACTACGGTTCTCCGGCCTAGTCACTATACCGACTGAGCTATCCGGCCCTGTTTCAAGGAACTACAATATAATGAAATTCTAATAAAAATCACAATAAACGATAGGATGCGCTGTAACCTGCGCCAGATTCCAATTTATAGTAAAAATTACGGCGGATATAAAAATATGAATGTTTCCTCATTTGCTCTCACTTAGGTTTGTCTATATTCGCCTTGCTATATGAGGAGTCGGGATAACTCAGTCGGTACAGAGACGGGCTATGGACTGGACGTCTTGGGTTCAATCCCCGACAGTGCAAGTTTTTCTCTTCTCAACAGCATCCAGCCAGCCTCTTATCCAACGAGTACCGGGGTCATTCTCCGGGGTTAAATCAGCAACGGCGTGAAGCTGACCAGTCACCTCTATCTAGTGCCGAGGTCAAGAAAGGTGGAGACATACACCCACTTCCCTGTATGTTATCATGGCATAATGCTTAATTGATTAAGCACAGGGACAACTTTACCTATACTCCTTGCTACACGAAGGGTACTGGAGAGAGGTACTGTGGGGTTTCCTGGGCAACTGCACTTACAACAATGAGCTTTGGAATTTTTAGCAGCTAGTTCTATGGGAGCCCTTGCCAATCAAAGAGTTAAGCAGTTTAAAAGTTGAAATATGATGACAAACGAACCCCTTCCCTACTACATTACCTGGTTCTCATTGATCGTGTGGTGTATCCACGCCTTGGCACCGTCGTCCCGTCGCCTGAGTGCTCGTCGGTGCAACCACTCCAGAAAGATGCATGCCGATATACCCACGGCTATGAGACAGGCCACGAGGACGGAGAGCACCAGCGCAGTGTTACCGACATCAACGAACAGCACCAGAGCTAGCACCACCACTGTCAGAAGAAGCAGAAGGCCCGAGACTAGAAGGCCCCAGTGGAACACACCGTATCTCCGCCCTGCACATAAAGTCTGTAATTGTGTACATAAATTTGTGCAGGAGACTACAAAAGTATGTCTTCCAAATTGGTTATTTGATATTTTACTTCAGGTGAACCGGTGAAGCATTGCCGATCGAGGCTGAGGACACGCCTACTCGTGGACTCTCCAGTGGGAAGTGCATCAGGTGGAAGGTGCAACAGAAAGTTCAAGCCTTCTTCCTTTGCGTCAGTAAAGTTCACTCGGATGGCCTATAAGTCTGCCTCACTAGCTCTTGGGACTATTTATTCCAGACACATATACTACCGCAAAATATAATTTTGCTGATTATTTCATATAGATTTGAATCGTAGTCTGTTGCTTCGAAGGAATAACGTGAATTGAGATATACAAGCACTGGAAAGAAAAGTGATTATAAACATATTGGGAACTTAGAAAGATCGAGTAAGTAAATCAGCGTGTTAAATGAGGAGACACTGAATTATTTGTACAAAATATTTACTAGTCTAAGGATAGTGAAATTTGGAAGGCTATGAAGGGGTTAATTATGTAGCTAGAATGGAAGACAAAGAATGCACACAGAATTTTGGTGGGAAAACCTCTTGGAAAATATCCACTTAGGAAATTGAGAAATAAACCGGAGGATAATAATAAAATATTTCATAGGGAGTTTGACTGTGATGGTGGTAAGTGGATGGGACTGGTTTGGGATCGTGTCCAGTGGCGGGCTTTGGTATTAGTGACCTGAGCCTACAGGGACGTCCACATTACTCGCGCTCGTACTCGTGCTCGCCAGGCTTGTGATCGTCGGGAGACTCTTCTGGCTTTTACTTGTGCTCGTAAATCTTCGTCCACACTACTTCAGTTGCTCGCCAGGCTTCGGCGCGTGAGGATCCGTATATTTACTTGTGGTGTGTATAGGCTATAGTTCCTAAATTTAAAATTTAAAATTTGCTTGTCTCATGACTTGTCATATCCTCCAAATTACTCGCGAGCATAGCGAGTCACACGAGCATGAGCACGAGTAATGTGGGCGCTCCTTTACAGTTCTACTGCTGCAGTAAGCCTGTAAGTCACATAGGCCTGTCTAGGCCTATTGTTGCAAAGCTAATTATGCTACAGAAACTTCATGGCAGAACGAGCCGGGGTAGCGGCAATGCCCTAGACATTGCAGTCGAGATGTTCTCGGTGGCGTGTGATTATCTGGCACTCTGTATATTAATACAGCAGCCTTCTTGAGAAGCTGACAGTGACTCACATTATCAGGAAATACCCAGTGTCTCATTTAAACCACTCATTCGTCACCTTTACACAGTAGCCACTCATTGTATCCTGTCATGAGCCAGTTGAAGCCAAATTACACCACCACATCCCATTTCCGTAACATTAATCTTAATGTTACCCTCAAATCTATGCGTAGGTCTTCAGATTGGTCTCTTTCCTCCAGGCCTTCCTAACCAGAATCTTGGTATGCATTTCTTATCTCGGTTATGTGTGCTCTAAGTCCCACCCACCTCATCTGCCTTGATTTAATTACTGTAAGTGCGATTATACACACCATGCAGGCCTGTACAATTTAGAAAATTCAATTAATTTGGTAAACTGTATTTGTAGTGCTTATAATGTGCAACAATGAGCCGTGATAGCGCAGTCGGAATAGAGAACTGGCTACTGGCTGGGAGACTGAGGGGTCGGAGTTCGAGTCCCGGGAGGGTCAAGAATTTTCACTTCTCCATGTCGTTCACGCTGGTTCTAGGGTCCACCCAGCCTCCTATCCAATGGGTACCGGGGGCTTTTTCCCCAGGGGTAAAGCGACAGGGGCAGGCTGACCACTCACCTCCAACTAGTGCCGAGGTCAAGGAAACGTGGGTCTATACAACCACTCCCCCATACACCTTCATGGTGTAGTGCTTAATTAGTTAAGTAAAGGGACTACTTTACATTTTTATACCCGTAATATGTAACATCAGTTTAAAGTAGCAGAGACATGACTAGGACGAAGTCTGAGAAACAGCTGGTTCGTGTATAGCAAAACCGAGGAAGTCATTTGGAACACAGATCTCTAACTGCTGTTCCCAAGTAGGCTAACAGTGATTTATGTAAGGATTTGAAAGGAAGCGGTCGTGACTTTTAAAGCAGTATATCGGTATTTATCTACAGAAACTGGAGAATACGATGAAGGCATAGCCGGTAACCTTACGGAGGGTCGAGCCGGGCACCTCCCGAACACAATTCTGGAGAATCACGAAATCAGATTATCTTGCCACGTTTAATTATTTTAAAATAATTTAGTAAATGATAGTGATACCGTCGAGCAAGTTGGCTCAAACGATGACGCTTATAGTTTGTATTACGGAGGTACTCGGTTCGAATCTGCCGCAAAATCAACTATCTCGGTTGAGGCTTTTCCTGATTTCTCCCAATGCCCCAACCAAATTCCGGCTTGTCCCTTAGAATTAGACCACAACCACTTCATTATTCATTATCAATCATTGAGACCTGTGCCCTGTAACCTAAATTGCTGACAGCGGACTTAACTACAAACAAACAAAAAAGTAACGGTATACAAGCAATAACGCTGAGAACTTAATATGCACTTTTCTTAAGAATTGACATTGAAGTATGTTTCTGAGAAACTTACTGCTATAAATTTATTTTCCTAATCATGCATTCTGGTTTTGGGACATCATATCATCTAGTAATACCAATTTCATTGACCCACAATACGTTACAATGACCCAGTTATTGTTTTGTTTCCTCCTTCCGCCTTTCTCTTTAGCAGTGTCAGTACAGGTATTGCCCGTTGCGACCTGAACAACGGTCCATACTCGATAGAAAGGCTGCGCCACAGCTCAAGCGGTTAGTTGCTGGCTTCGATCCCGGGGTCTGGTCAAGTGGGATTTGTGGTGGACAAAATGGCCCTGGGGAAGGTTTTCTCCGAGTACCTCGGTTTCCCCTGCCAATCTTCATTCCACCAATTGCTCCACAATCACCCTCCCCTATCATCTGGGGCAAGTACAATAGGCCAGAAGTGGCCGCAGTACAAGGGACTTAGTCCCACCCCACTAGCAATAAAATAATACTCCGATAGAATACATGCGGTACCGATAGTCTATTTTCCAATTGCTTTGTTTATTGTTTCGTATCCCTCATCAGCTTTGATGTTTATTTGTTACAGACACAAATTCTTTCTCTTCTTCTTTTACAAGGATTGGGCCAAGTCCCTTTCCGAATCTAACTGAACTGTTCCTTCAATTGCACGTTTAACTGGTCAAGTCACGTCTTTCCTTAAGACCGCGATGCTTACAGTATGCTTGTCATAATAAACGTTCAGGGGTCATCGTATCGATATGTTACAAGTTTTTTCTTTCTGTCTAATTTCTTCTATCCTATTTTCTGTTTCTAGATAGTCCCCTATAGGCTACCCAGTCTTCAGTCTTCATTTCTTTCTGACTGTAACTCCAAACAACGACCTCAGAAGACGTATTTGACACTATCAAACAAACAAAACAAACTCCGTGGCCTGTAGTCCACAAGCGAACTATACCGACCGAGCGACCGCCGCTTGACGGTAAAGTCAGTACCAACTTTTTGCGGATAGAGGGTGTCGCGTGGTCAGCGCAACGGTCCCCACGGCCGTTAATCTCGGTTTTCTAGACCGGAGCCGTTATTTCCTTCATGTAGCTCCTCAGTTATCCTCACGAGGTTGAGTGGCCCCCGTTCCAGAACCTCTACTTCTCAGAAAATCTGGTAGAGCCGGGAATCGAACCCGGGACCTCTGGATCTGTAGGCAGGAACTCTGACCACTAGACCACAGAGGCGGTTGAGGAACCTTATCTCGGAGTATATCGAGAACCCCTCCACAAGGATACATGTGGTGGCTTCAGCGGTTACCGAGGCTACTTCGGACAACAGTACGTACTTTGATGGCGAAGCTAGCGGAAGAAGCAATTCCCTGTGTGGGATCAGCACATGCAGGACTATGGTTACAGCCTGCAAAAAGGGAATCCCGTCACTGACTTTGCCTTGCGCAGCGGACATTACTATTTTCTTCCAGAGCCATATTCTATATACGTATTGACACACTATTGCGTGATCATCTGATTCCCGAAAATCTTTCGATCACTCAGGCAGAAGAGACAAGCTTTTCGAGTCAATTCGGAGTGTAGAAATTGTGACTAGCAGCGGACTGAATACACAAAGTGCCTACAGTCTACATACTACAGCTTCTCTCTCATATCGCCACAGCAAATCGTTGAATAGCTACCATGAAGCGAAACGAAGCGTACGGTGCCAGCCGGCCGTAGTCCTGAGCGGTCCTGAGACCTTGTTACTGTATGTGGCAATCAGCCATATTGTTTCTTGGGTCGAAATGCCAGTTGTACGAAACACAGCAAAACAACGAGTGTTCATGTATGATACCTATGTGAAAGGTGGTTCTTTACTAACACTGATGAGAAGATTCTGGAATGTTGCAGTCCTTAATTGAAAAACTCTCCATATAACCACAAATAAAGAAATGCATGAGAGATTTTTGGGGGTAGGGGGAAGAATGATCAATTCGGAGTGCTCGCTGAACAGAAATTGAATGAAATGGCGCTTAGCTTGAACATTATTCTTGGAAATTTTCCAGACCCCTTGAAGAGGAGAATGAGGTTTCTAAAAGCGGCAGGACCAACTGCCCTAAACTCCTAAACAACAGTAGTCACTCGGCAAATTGCGTTCGCTACGCAGTAGCTGTTCAACCATTTATTCTTGTGATATTGATGTGATATGATGTTGAGCGCGCTACCAGTCACAATCTGTGTATCCCAACTCGGCGTGGAAAGGTTTTGTCTCTTCCGCCTCAGCTGATAGCACTGTACATCCCCGGTACGTGAAGAAATTTACCTATTCTATTATCTTTGGATCTGTAATAACTGTGATTCTTCCCTTATTTCTCCCTTCCTCTACCATAGCTTTGATTTTATACTATATACTATTTTATCAAGTTTTGCCACTTTCTGTAGTAAATCATTCTTTTTTCAGAACGTACCTGGTTGATAATGAGTTGATAGATTCATCATTTCCCACAGATATCGTTTTCGGTTTCATAAATTCCCATTTTTTTAGCTGCACCGCTTCAAAAAAAATGTTTTCTGCATGGAACAAGGTATCACTTTCTCTGTATTTCATTACATAGGTGTCATATAAAAAAAATCCGAATAAAGTTGTGGATCTTACTAAAATCTGTATTTGTCAGATATTATTATTTTGAATGAAGGGTCTTTTTTTTGGCTAATCATATTCGACTAGGGTTTCGCGAGAAGAAGTGTTTTTAAAATTATATAAACCAAAATTTAATTTGCCTGACACCTTTCAGTATGGAATCCTAGTGCCATACTTAATCACCATCTGTTCATTAGTTTCGGAGAGGAAATGGATGAAACTGACCTCTCCTATATGTTTTTAATCGATCCCTTTGTGTAAGGAATGTTATGCCTTGTAGTCCGGCAGAAGTTCACAGACGTTTCGGAGGAACGTACTTCATCGATCTTAAAAATCGAAGAGTATGCCTCTGTTTGCGTCTTGATTCTTGCTGGTTGCTTGCTTGTCTTACTCATCGACTATGAAGACGGGAACATACGTTCCTCCGAAACGTCAGTGAACTTCTTGCGGACCACACGGCGTCACATACCAGAAGATAGTATGTACTCTTCATAGTTGCCTTTGTGAGAACTGCAAATCCAACAAAAAATCTTTCCGCATACGAAGCATGAACTTGACAATAATAATACATCATTATGCTATGTACATTTCTGAACATCCTTGAGACGTTTTCTACGCAAACAAGTGAACATAGACATTGCCATTCTATACAACTAACAGTGGCTGACATCACTCATACTTACTTTCATCGACAACGCCCAGAGGTCGTATAACGTCTGTTTCAGCCATGTCACTACAGTTATCCGCAACAGAGATTTATTTCCGGGTAATTTCTGTCACTGGTAACATACTCACTAGCAATGGCACTCCTGAACTAGTACTGGGTGTTAATTTCATTGCTGAGCTGTTTTGTTTGCCTGCCGGTCACGCTGTCAAGTAAACACTGATAAACCAACACACATCATCACTCGCTCACAATTTCATTGATATCAACATAATCGCGTGATAAAGCCCACAGTGATCGATACAGAATATAGGTGTTGATATCGATAAATTAATAAATAACAATAGGAAATATATCGATTCTGTCGATTTCGTTGGCTGAAAAACAATTCTGACTTAAGCGTGGCTACACGACAGGTAAATTGTACAATAATAATTCTCCGAGGAGATGGTAAGTTTATTTTCAGTTTGAAATCTGTTTCTTCTCTCATAAGGGCGTTATAAAACCCTGCGGATTGTCTGGTAAGTCTGCTCAGTCCATCTGTACACAAGAAACAACTCCAGAACCTTTGAACGAGTTTTCGTGAAGTCTGATACAGTGGCGTTTAAAAAAAATATATTGAAACATATTTTTTTTTTAATCGGAATAATGGACTCTTAACATGAAAACAGATATGTGTTGCTGCGTTGATCTCGAGCGTAACTCGTTAAACATTTATCGCGGAGAAAAAAAAAGTTTTAAACGAAGGTTGTAGATAAAACTGAAACATAATGTTCACGACTAACACACATTTTCCGCAAGTCTCACAAGATTCGTGTAATTTAGCAAAATAGACACTGCGCGAACATCTCGTATATTCAGCAATCAACAACAGCGTTCCGAACACACTTGAAGATTACTAAAGCCTGCTCTTCTCTATCATAATGAAGCGACCTTCTTCCCGCTCTGATTTATAGCCCTGCATATATATAAACACATATAGGTGTATACAGTATATATGTATTATAGTGCAGCAGAAGTCTTTCATTCCTAATCATAAAAGGTAGATTTACGAAATAAATACTTCAGTTTTTTCAGCAAAATGCAGAGTGATTCTAAATTATTGTCGAGGTTTACGTATCCTATAATTTTCAGAACTGAAATGAAATAAAACTGCTTACGGAATATAAAAGTGTAACTCAAGAAGTGTTATTAATTGCCAAGTAAAATTTTCTGAATACACTTTCATATTCTGTAAGCAGTTTGATTTTTTTTTTCCAATTTGAAAATTATAGACAACAAAATCCCGACAATAATTTAGACTCACGTTGTATGGAAATTGAGAAAATAAAGGCTGTCTTCATTATGTCTGGCAGGGCTGAAATCAGATTCCTTGTATTCTTTTAACGTAGTACTGTATTACTATAATACGTCGAAGCACATATTAAACGTTTTTGTAATTTCAATTTAGTGTCGATGTAAGTTACAACAGTAAAAAGCTGGAGCCTAATATTAATTATTTACTCATTCAGTACTGGTCTATAATTGTGACTTTTCGACAACTTCAGTAAGTATCAACTAACTGGGAAGTGATGTATGCGAACTTAATGTCTGTGTTTGTCTGTGTTAGGGTGCTGATTAGTGTTTTGCAGTATCATACGGAATGTTCAAGTTTGCGTGCTATACCCATTTGCTTATAGAATAAATATTTTTCATTTATTACATTTTATGGCATGTTCATCTTTACCTAAACTCCATAATAATCAATGAAATATAATCAGTGACCAAATGAATGTTTATTGGAGTCCCTCCATTGCAAAGCTCTTAGTATGGTTGGGGCCACTCGGTAGCGTAGTTTGTTGAGGCATTATGCTACGAGTCTGAAGGTCGCGGGTTCCATTCCCGATGAGGTCATTGGATTTTTCGACTGACCTAATCCTCCCAGACGCACTATGGCCCAAGGTTCGACTCAAGCCTATAACAGAAATGAATACCGGGAATCCTTGAGGGGTAACGGGCAGCCGGCATGTAAGGCTGACAATCTCGGCGCCATTTATGTGCCGATTGTCCACAAAATGTGGGAGCCTCGACGTCTCACATCCCTATGGGCCCCCACGGTTTGTTGCAGGGATGGCTTTACTTTTACCTTTTACCTCAGTATGGCTGAAACATTCCTTCATCAACCTGTCTACGTACATTTGATTTGATGTGTCATCTGATTTGATCTAATTTGTTACTTTAGCTTATCATTTGTTTTAGTTGGGTTATTTTTCTTTTGATTTGCTTAATTTTTCGTTGAATATGCAATGTAACCTCATAAGGATGCGATTCTGGATATATTACAGGTAAGATTTTGATTGCCGTGAGAAAGGAAGGTAAGTCTACTGGTGTGAAGAGTTCTGTATTCAGGGATATAACGCCATGTAGTCCGTTGAAATTCAACCGACATTTCAGAGGAACATCTCGCCTCCATCTTCAGGGTCGAAGAATAAGCCGAACAACAAACCAGCATGAAAGCACGTGGAAAGCAAATCCTACATTGTTCTACTGGGGATTTAGTACTAACTAGAACTAAACGTTTTCCTGAAGTTGTGTTTCAAAAGTAATGTCCCCAAGCGTCTTAGTATGTTTTCATATTATATTCTTAAATGACTGGTAAGTAATGTTTCTTGTAGGTCCCAGTAAGTAAAATTTATTATATGGATTACTAATCACTCAATAGTATTTTCGTCTGTGTTCTATTTTGTACAGATCCACTACATGTTAGACCAGACCCTTTGTGTTGATATTGATGACATATGTACATTTGCATAATATTTTAAAGGAACTACAAACATTGCTAAGGCAATAACTTTATCCACTTGCTAGATATCAGTGAACAAAGACTGAACAAACCAATTCATTCATGTACTTTCGCTTTTACCATGAAAAGGAGCATACATCCACCCCCCCCCCATACGCCTTCATGGTGGAGTGCTTAATTAGTTAAGGACAGGTACAACTCTAGGAGCAAGTCCCTGTACAGTATCATTGTAAAAAGCTTTTGTGTTCCTTGTCCCCCCTCCAAAAAAAAAAAATCGCCGAGGTGATTTACGTGGTTGAATAACAGTTAATCTTGTTACCGGCTGAGGTATTGTTACTGTTCCCATGGTAATTGGCAAATTTCATGGATAGATGGCAGAACGGTCTGCGAATAACGCTTCCTTTCCAGTGGAGCAGCATTTGTTTATTAGTTTGTAGGTTTGCTTGTTCCAATTGCGGTAGTGTCATTTGTTAGTCAGGAATTATATTTCGGCAATATGGTGTTAGAGAGTACTATGATATGGTAAATTCTAAGATAAATAAGATCATTACAGTATCAGCAATTGCCACTGCAATATTGATGCATACAAATTTATGTGAATGCTTCAAAATTGTTTTGTATCAATACACTTTTAGGTTATGATATTAGTAGCCATGCTACAAAGATGACATAGCAAAGTTGGTATATTGCCTTTACTGTTCATAAAATAATGGTATTTGTAACAAATACCGTTAATTTTGTTTTGTTTTCTTTTACATAGTGTGGATAACAGTGATTACATGCGAAATGGAGACTTTCTTCCTACAAGATTACAAGCCCAACAGGATGCTGTCAATCTTGTGTGTCATTCGAAGACGAGATCAAATCCAGAGAATAATGTTGGTCTTTTGACTTTAGCCAAGTAAGTTTTTCAAGATAAAGCTGATGTATGAGGACCGTGAATAATTGCTTTTGGCGATGTAATAGATGACCACAGTAGTTTAGCCATCTAGAGGATATTAAAATGTTGGGAATGGTTTAGAACAGGAATGCACAACCAGTCTTCATTAAAATGTCACATTTCCAAATTTCCCCTTATCTGCTGGTTGCATTAAAAATGCGTTACATACATCAATAGGAAACAAGTATGAGACAGCACCACATAACATGATATGAAGCAGTATTTTTTTTTCTGTGGCTTCACAGCCCCAATTTGGGCCAAGGCCTACCTCCATGAAACTCTCCGTTTCACTTCGGTTTACTAGATCTTACACATACGGTAGGACTCCTTGGGCGAGTGATCAGCTCGTCGCAAGGCTTCTATCTGTAGACAAACACAGAAAAACGCACACAAACATCCATGCCCTGAGTGGAATTCGAACCCACGATCCCGGCTTCCGAGTGAGCAAAGACAGTGCACGCCTTAGACCGCTTGGCTACCATGACCGGCATGAAGTAGTATAACCAATGTTAATACAGTAACTGTTATCTACAGCGCTATATTGTAACATACCAGTTTTAACTTTATTGGAGGCTTATGAGCCAGATATTTTAATCTTTTAATTTTACATATGTGATTTGTAAAGTCTTCCTGTAATGTAACACACGCCCCTGTTGATGGTCTTGTAAGACTGAGATGAATTGAGGTGTGGGCAACAGAGAGTCAGCATAAGCAATAAATAAAAAGTACTTAGATGATAACATGCATCTTAATTTTGCCTTTCTAATTTATTATTTCACAGTGCTTCCTCATTTTCTAAGGTTTGATGGAATGCTTTGTAAAAAAATAATTTAATTATTCTTTGTGATAATTATTGAGAGATGTTTGACAATTGTTTTTATAAGAGGAATGAAATAACGGTTCATATTCCATTTTGAAGAAGTGTTTTCCCTTCTTGTACCCTTCATGCTTAGTTTAGCCTTTTTTCAGCCATGAATTTAATTTGGAAACTCAAAAGATGTCACATATAGCTTGAACATGTAAAAATTATGTCATCGCTTTATGAATTCTGAAAACCACAGTGGCCTCTGACAGTGTTCCTGGTGAGTTTTTTTTAAACAATTGTCCAGCCCCCCCAAAAAAACTGTATTTGCAGTATTTACAGAAATCGAGCATGCGACCATGTGGTTGGAAACTGTAAGTGGAGCCAAATGTGACAAGTGAAAGATTACTTTCATTGGAAAAAATAAAATTTTCACCAATCAGTGATAAGGAGGCAGCAAGCACAGCCTGCTGACTCCTGATTTCTTAATTGGCTTACACTTGTATCCTGAAGATGGAGGCAGTCATCTATAACTTCAGTCAGGATAGGTGTTATCCTGGTTGAGATACAAACCAAGCATTTACCGAATACAAGTCTAAGGTGTTACCTGTAGACCAATCTATGTGGTAGTTTTTATGTTGATTTTTTAGTCATTACTAATACCATTGTTACTTTGTGATTAAAGCAAATAATCAGATAATATGCATCAAGTCCAGTTGCTACAAACTACCGAAATTATATTTTTCTTCCACAGTGTTGAAGTGTTGGCAACTCTGACATCTGACGTAGGCAGAATTCTGTCCAAGCTTCACCAGGTTCAGCCGCAGGGTACCATCAACCTTCTGACAGGCATTCGGATTGCTCACGTAAGTTGAAAGCAGTTGTATGCTGTTGTCATGATCAGGGCCCAGATATTGATGACCTAAAAATATTTTAAAAATGACTGAAAATCCAGAAAAATTACCAAAAAATCCAGAGAAATTATCTAATAGTTAAAAAGATACCTAAAATTGTATCTTATCATGTAAAATTTACTAATTGTTTTAAAATGTATTTTTAATCTTTATTAACCCTGTGAACTGAACGTTACTCTTTTAAGTTCATCCTCGTTTTTATGTTGAAAACTAAGCAATATATGATTGAATTTGAAGCTAAATGTTTTAATACGATTTTTTCTACTGCATTTGAACACTTATCAAATGTACATATACAGTATATAATCCAATATTTAAGTGCCAAATCATTCAGAATGGCAATAGATGACAGTCAACATGTGGAGATTCTCGAATGTACCTGGAGATGTGCTCAAGTTACTGGGAGAAGGTGGTTTGAAAACACTGACAAAACTAATGAACACCATATATGAAATTGGAGAGTGGCCCAAGGACTTCACAGAAGTTACAATGATTGCCTTAGAGAAAAAGACAAAAGCTACAAAATGCAGCAACCATCGCACAATAAGCCTTATTGCACATACAGCAAAGATACTTGAAAGAAAAATTGAAAGGAAAATAGAGGATATACTTGGAGAAGATCAGTTTGGATTTAGAAGAGGAAAAGGAACCAGGGATGCAATTGGGATGATGAGAATTATAGCAGAATGAACTTTGGAGATAGATGAAGAACTGTGTGTTTGCTTCATAGACTGGCAGAAGGCATTTAATCATGTAAACTGGACCAAATTAATGCAGATCCTAAAGGAAACAGGTATCGATTGGCTTGAAAGAAGATTGATCAGCAAATTGTACATGGATCAGAAAGTTCGAGTATGACTGTCAGAAAGTTAGAGTATGACTGGA